TTATCATCATGGGTTATGCGGATGTTTTGCTAGAAAATGGTCATGATGTGGCTGCCTCCCCAGTATATGGCGCAATATCGGTTCTTTGCAACAAGATGTTTGGGTGTTTTGTCACGACGAAGATGTTCTGCAATATTATGGCTGGTTTTAAAATGGAGTCACAATATGGAAGCTTTGTCACATAAGTTACATGGATACTACACCAAAAATATGTATCGTATGGATACTACACCAAAAATATGTATCGTATGGATACTTTACCACAATAGACATCACGATGTGGATGCCTTACCACAATAGACATCGCGATGTGGATGCTTTATCACAATAGACACCACGATGTGGATGCTTTATCACAATAGACACCACGATGTGGATGCCTTACCACAATAAACATCGCGATGTGTGTGCTTTATCCGAATCTGCATCACGATGTGAAACTGGAGGAGTTATTTCGTTATGATCAAGATGTGGATGCGTTACCTCTCTATACATCACGATTTAGAGGGTTAACCACAATAAACATCACCATGTAGATGCTTTACTCGAATTTCCGCCACAGTGTGGATGCTTTACCACAATATGCATCACGATGTGGAACTGGAGGAGTTATTTCATTATGATCAAGATGTGGATGCGTTACCTCTCTATACATCACGATTTAGAGGGTTAACCACAATAAACATCACCATGTAGATGCTTTACCCGAATTTCCGTCACAGTGTGGATGCTTTACCACAATATGCATCACGATGTAGGTGCTTCACCACAATATGAAGCACGGTGTTAATGCTGAACAGCAATGTACATCACGATGTGAATGCTTTACCCGAATCTGCTTCACGATGTAGATGCTATCTCATAATATTGATCACGACGTGGATGCGATGCTTTGCAATATGGATCGCAATTTGAATGTTTTCTATAGAACGGATAACCATTCATTCCTTTCAACAAGATATGGCTGTCTGACTTCAAAATGGATTACGCGAAGACGCGATATGGATGCTTTACAACGATATGGGTTTGGATATTGACCCGTGGTGTATCTGCAAAATAATACGAGATATAAAGGTCACAATGTACGCGTAGATCCCCCTTACAACGATTCAGAACGTTTCAATTAGCTGTCAGGATGTTACCCATTTTCAAATAAACACAGCAGTGGATTTTCAATAACAATTTTAATAAATATTTAGGCTATAAATATTGCGTTTTGTTTAAGCTTCATCTTGCTCCCCTTCTTCTTCATCAAATTCTCCTTCCTCTTCAGTTGTAGCATCCTGGTACTGTTGATATTCAGATACCAGATCATTCATGTTGGATTCAGCTTCAGTAAATTCCATCTCATCCATACCTTCACCAGTATACCAATGGAGGAAAGCCTTTCTTCTAAACATAGCTGTAAACTGTTCAGAGATTCTCTTAAACAGTTCCTGAATGGCTGTCGTATTACCAATAAATGTTCCAGACATCTTCAGACCTCTTGGTGGAATGTCACAAACAGCAGTTTTAACATTGTTTGGAATCCACTCAACAAAGTAGCTGCTGTTCTTATTCTGAACGTTCAACATCTGTTCATCCACCTCCTTCATGGACATACGACCTCTGAACATGGCAGCTACTGTCAGATAACGACCATGACGAGGATCACAGGCAGCCATCATGTTCTTGGCATCAAACATCTGTTGGGTGAGTTCGGGTACAGTGAGGGCTCGGTACTGCTGGGAACCTCGTGAGGTGAGAGGAGCGAATCCTGGCATAAAGAAATGAAGACGTGGGAAAGGTACCATGTTGACCGCTAGCTTTCTGAGATCGGCGTTGAGCTGACCAGGGAATCGGAGACAGGTGGTCACTCCTGACATGGTGGCTGATACCAGATGGTTGAGGTCACCGTAAGTGGGTGTGGTCAATTTGAGAGTACGGAAACAGATATCGTATAGAGCCTCATTATCAATACAGTAAGTCTCGTCTGTATTTTCTACCAGTTGATGAACTGAAAGGGTGGCGTTGTAAGGTTCAACAACTGTATCAGATACCTGGAATTATAAGAACAATGTGTAATTTAAACAATAATGTTTTCATGTTTATATCAAAGATTGTTGGCGCTGTTATCAACACAAAATTTCCTCAATGCTCACTTCATGCATTTGCGCGTATACTTTTTCACGTATACGACAATGACAATAAGGCTCAATTTCCCCTTCCCTGTGATCTCATTAAAGTTTTAATACTATCGAAACAACAAGGTTCTATGCTCAGAAAAGTTATAATAATAACTAACCTTTGGTGAAGGACAGACAGAGAAGGTGTTCATGATTCTATCTGGATATTCTTCTCGGATTTTACTGATGAGGAGAGTTCCCATACCAGAACCAGTTCCACCACCCAGAGAATGGGTCAACTGGAATCCTTGTAGGCAATCACAACTTTCAGCTTCCTTGCGGACCACATCAAGAACTGAATCTACCAATTCTGCACCTTCTGTATAATGACCTTTAGCCCAGTTATTACCGGCACCAGATTGTCCGAAGACAAAGTTATCTGGTCTGAAGATCTGACCAAATGGTCCTGATCTTACAGAATCCATGGTACCAGGTTCCAAGTCAACGAGAACAGCTCTGGGTACATATTTACCACCAGTAGCTTCATTGTAATAAACGTTGATTCTCTCCAACTGAAGATCAGAATCACCGTGGTAAGTTCCAGTTGGGTCAATACCATGTTCATCAGAGATCACTTCCCAGAACTGAAAAAACAAACGTATCAAAATATCAAAATAGAGCGGATCTGAGGACATGAGTGGCAACATTTAGTTACTGACACATGGGCGTCTTTATGGCTTTTTAAAGAATGTGTATTGGTAATTTTGAACAATTAAGTACTGTGTTGAGTTGTTGCAGTTTGAGATGCCACGGTCAGCGCTTTCTATGGTAAGTTTTCGCCTCTGTCATCTGTCGTCACAAGGTAATGTTTAATGTCAAAGCAAATTTCTTACCTTAGCTCCGATCTGGTTACCACATTGACCAGTTTGCATATGAACGATTTCTCTCATGTTGATGGTTGAAGTAGGGTTTAGTGTATAATCAGAAAGTCTGTGACGAGATGGTTTGAGATCGGGAACTGATCGCTGAATGAATTGAGAGAGAAATGACCTAAGTTATATTCTGAGCTGTCGTCAAGGCCCATCACAACACTAACATTGGACATATTGGTAACCAACAATAGGGTTAATCACCTAATCTTGATTAGGTTTAAAGCCTCTGTAATATTACTCACGTTGCCAAAGGGTTAATTGGTAATTGTCACACTACTGTATATGATTATGTAATAAGTTGTGAATAATTTACAGTGTACAGATTGATTTGGGTCAAAGATATTGAAGAGCCGAAGCTGATTGTTCATCATTGTAGTTTAGTTTAGACGAGGGCCGGGGTTGCTCTTTTCGTTAGATCTACACAGTTTGTCATTGCTGTGAGCAATTGACAAGCTAAGAACCGATTAATCGAGGTATTCCATGGAAATCTGCAACTTGGTTTTTGCTGGGATGGATGGTCCGAATTTGGACATCTCGAGGGGCTTATCTGTTTAGAAATTAATCTGTTAGACGCAAGTCACAGCGTCATACTCAGTGGGCAACAAAAAGTTATTTTGCTTTTCAAATTTTCTGCTACAGAATGGAGGACCAAATACCATGCCAATGCTATTATGAGAAGCCTTTTGCCAGGTCACTTGCATGAGCTTACTGTTTTCAGATTTTCTACCTTCGAGGAAGCTGGGTTGAAAGGTATCCTCTCTGCCATTGCTGCAATTAAACCCAGGGTTTTAACTCACTGAGCCATCCATGCTCCCCAATAAAAAAAATACAGACTCAACTATATTTATAACAAAAATAAATTTAATAATAAAACTTATTAGATAATAAAACCATAATAAATACAATCCAACATGAAAAGATATTGACAATATCATTTTATATACAAACTTTAATGGTATTGATGAAAAGGGAAAGTTCAGGCAAAATTTTTTCTAAACTTTTCATAAAAATTGCACAGATATTATCACATTACAATACAGTTGATTTCTTAAAGTTTATAGAGAAGACATCAGAAATTTGACAAACAAGCAATAACAGGTAGATGATAAATAGGCTTATTAATAAAATAGATACCAAATATTGGTCTTGTAAGGATATTGAGAACTACTGTCTCACTTTGTTTGGTGAATATGAAGGTGAGCTTCACACAATACTGATAGTCTTAGAATGACTTTGCTTTGATAAACATAAAGTATAGCAAGTTTTTATTATAAACACACTCCCTTGGATAAATTTCATCCCAAAATACCTCAAATTTATTTTAACCTTATCCAAATGCAGAACCATTGAAAGGAAACTGTTTTTGTTCAGTGACGCTATTTTAGAATTGTGCGAAATTTGGAAGCCATTTATATCAAGTTTTTCTTTAATCTCTGTTTATCACGACATAGCACACGATTTCTCTTTATTTTCATTTCTCTGTAATAAAACAAATAAACAATCAGTTATAAATATGGGTGTAGGTATGAGTATTCAGAAAAAATCAATACCCAACATGAAAATTCTTAAGATAAATGAAAGACAATATCATGCAGCTGTGTACAATGAAGGGCATTTTTATCAGGACACAACAAGTTTGGTCATTTGGCCAATTCTTTGTCAAATCTTAGTTAGGTAATGATTTAGCCTTAAATGTATATCAGGGTATATCAGTCAGACATCTGTGGTTCCTGCAATTCCAATAAAACTAAGTGTTTGATGACGTTCCTAATCGCGAAGGGCCTTGTGTGATAAAGCATATATCGTGATTAATGACGTCACCAAACAACTTAGTTTTAGTGGAATTGCAGGAACCACAGATGTCTGATTGAAAATGTGAATGATGCAAATTGATGCTATCAAAGTCCCCAATACACATAAACAAATTTAGAAAACCTTTTTACAATTCCTTTTAATACATTGGCTAATCAAATTCTAAATCTGTACCCACCTGTCTCTGGTTTCTGGCTGCCTCCTGTTCACTTTCATATAAAGCTTGAGCTAACATTAGATCTTCATCTTCTGTTGAACTGTAATAAATAAAAATTATTATAAAAAATATATAACTTGTCCTATTACCTCCAGTGGTAAAAATGATTGTCTTTAACTTAGTAACATGCAAATTTTGAAGCATATAGGCTAAATCATAGACCAAAAATCTGTCGACATCTTTGCCAAACCTTTTGACAATATTTCCCAGATTATTTGTACACATTTACTTTTAAGAAATGTAGAAATATGATTTTTATACGTTTTTTGTCCTAATTCAGAATGTCAGAATTCACCAAATCAATTCAATTTTTCAAAATTTTTCTTGAGAGAATTCTCTCAGACGCTGCATGAAAGGCATGCAACTATGACACCTCTACAGAGTTGCCGTATTTTGAATTCAGCCTCAGTAGGTGTACCCCCATTGAGGCAATCTGCCCCCTATTATTACCCTCAGTCACTGCCACTGTTCACACCATAATGACAAGATATATCATAAAATAAATAATAACTGTAAGACATAAATACCCTGATTGTGTACTAGAGGTAGTGGGTTTCTGTTGTCTTGTTTCTGACATTGACATCTGTATAGCTCGTGCCAAGGCCTCATCTTCACTCTACAATATATACATTATTACTAGAGTTCATATTAACGTAAAACATCTAACAGTTATTTCAAAATGATTTTCATGTATGAATGTTACTGAAATATGGCTTGCCATATAGCTCCTCTCTGTGTGATGAAATCACCACCCTTGCTAGAGACATGTCCTAATGTGTAAAGCAAAATTGAGACATACCTTCTTTTATGAGACTCTAAAATTAGCTGAGACCAAGTTCTCAACCATAGAATAAAAAGTAGTTAAACCTCTGTTTTCAACTTTGTTCCTACAACATTATTTTTCAACATTCCAAAACTAAAAGTAAATTAATAAATGCTTACCAGCCCAGCCTGGACACTTTGCACTGATGGTTGTTGTCTTGACTGTCGTTCTCTAAAATAAAACAAACAGTTAGTTTAATATAATTTATATAATCCTCTGAATTGAAAGTGTATCAATCAATGTTGTTGTATAATAAGACCGTTCTTCTTACTTCTTTTATTATACAATATATAATCTTCAGATTAGAACTCTAATTTAAGACATATGTCTAGGTCAAAGATTATAAGGATAAACTATTTTCATTTCAGTGGCCATTCCAAAAAAAACTCTTCTATTGCAACAATTTCAATAAACTATGGGATCTATGTTCAGCAACACTCAAGCAGAATTAAAAAATGAACCATTCTAAATTATTTATCATTCAGGTTAAATTTCGTTAATTCACTGGACAGCTGATCCACATCTCAATAAAATTGAGTACCACGTGATATGCAAGGTACTTTTTGACCAAGACTACTGACCTGTTTAACTGAGAACCTATACTGGTTAATGAAGACTGCTGTGGTTTATTCTGACTGGAAGATTTCTTGGTATTACTTGACGATTGGGTAAATCGGGAAAATGCTGCAGCACTGAAATAATACGTTAGATGTAAGTTTACTATCATAATATGTGGAAAAAATCTTTCTTATAATTGACTTAGTATAAAGACAAATCTGTTAATACATCTAACTAATATGCAGTGTTATGAACACTACCCTCTCAAAATAGTTTGGAAGAACATTCAATGAAGGCACTCAGTCTGAAATTATGTCACAGAATTTGATATACCAAAGCTTTCAGAGCTTAGATCAAAAATATCTACAGAAGAGCAGACAAGAGTGATGACTGATGACTAATAGAATTAAAATTAAAATGTAAGCATGAAAAGACAAGAATAATGGCAAGAATGAAAATAACACTATGTTGAAATTAATAAATAAAGATACAATTTCACCCTCATTCTGATTATCTCCTTAAAACTCACCCTGAACTTGTTATAGATCTACCAGAATTCTGAAAACCCTGACAATTATGGTCTAATTCATGACGATGTTTTAAACAAAAATTCTTTCTACATTTCTCACAAATTACTGGAACAAGCTGAAAAAATGAGCAATGAAATGAATTGAAATTTAATTTCATTTACAAATTGGTTGAAAAAGTCCTCTCAGAATTGCTTCCATTGCTAATTCATAAAGATCCCTACCCAGAACTTAAACAAACATAATTTATCTCACTATCATTTAGGCATAATCAAGATTGTAGGCAATCACTTGAAACAATCTCATTTAAACAACTTACCTCTTTGTGTTTACAACCTTTTGCTGAACATTTGTTGGTATACACCTAATAAAATAAAAAAAAAAACAAGTAATGAAAGTGAGTCTTTTCTATTGAGGACAGAGTTAATAAAGATGACACTTTACTTTAATGTAAATGGAACTTCAGTAACGTACACAGCATATAGGAAACAGGGTCTTGAATTATTACTCCCTTGGAATGATTAAATGCACTTTCCACGTCAGACCTTCCAATCTTTCGACACTGACCAGGGATCAGTTAGAGGTTACTAACCTTTGTCAGTGTCAACCTTCCTGAAACTTCCTTAGCCACCACCACTGCTCTCTCAAAAAATTCAGATCATATCTAATGCACCCCAGTGACTTTCACAGCCGGAAGCAAGTTTTTTGGGCAAAAATCTCATGACTTGGTTAAAAATTTGGGCAATTTCAGATATTTTGCTCCCCCTTGGACATAAACCTGACTCCGCCACTGATGCACCCATACCAATAAAATATTTTTGTAAGTCATATTAGCTTGTTGAATTCAAAACAAAGATAAAATTAAAGGATGCAAAACAATAACAAACCTTTCTCCTCTCTTTAGCCGGGTCTGACTGACAATCTGTATCAATGTGTCGACCTACAACTACATCAGCTGACTCTCCTTGCTTCACTGGAATCGGTGAATTACACAGTGGACATACTGGTACCTGATTATCCTGAAAATAGTCAGACGATAATGTCTACCAACTATATGTGTCTTCTATATATGGCATAGCTTCACTTAAATTCGAGTCGAATTTTAACTTTCAAACATGAATAATTATGGATTCACATGGATTTGAAAGCTCAAATTTCGACAATGAGCTGTAAACACTATTACTGATTATGTAAGCTAAAAAAAGTCCTGTTTCTGAAACTAAGGTATGATTAAATGAACAGACAGTGAAGAAATCTAGAAATGAAATGTGTTGAGGAGAAACAGCAATCAGCAACCAAACAGGCTATATATAGCACATGGACACGATTAATGCATGATAATTTAAAAATCTAGTGGCACAATCTTGAATTATGTCAGCAACAAACTCAACCGCCACAGCTCCTAAATTCCAATTCATTCAGCTAGTGAAATACGGACCAAATAGTCTTAACTAGGATTTTCCTTTTATAAATAACAATTTACCTTTTTATAAGATTCAGAACAGCTGTGACTGTTATACATCACATGATCACCACTAAAATACACAAAAAATATCAATTCAATACTGCTTTAAAGAGTTAGTCATAAATATAATTACTACACAGTTTTCATTTCTGTCTTTTTTTAATTACAACGGTGTCCAGTCAACTCGTTGACAGTCAACTCATCGACAAACCTGGATAACCTATCAACACCCTTCAAACGAAAAACATCAGATTTCCTTTCTAAAGATACGGCAGAAAGCTGAAATCAAGCTCTATAAGTTTGGAGATATCTATATATCTGATAATATCATTGCGTTGTGCTCTATTCGGAAAAGATAAATAATGTTATACTTATAAGACTTCTTTTTTTATTTTTTTTTTATTTTTTCATTTCTAAAGTTTTCAAACTATCTGATATAAATAGGTATGAAAATAAGACACACACAAAAAAAAAAAGAAAATATCTAAAGAAAACTTACCAGTATATTTTAAAACAGCAATCACATTTCATAGGTAGAAAATCTGAAAAGAAAACAACATCTTACTAAGACAATGTTCACCCAATTATCTCTTGAAGAGCAAGAGTGTTATCAGTTAATACCGGTAGGTTTTTTTCTCATGGTAAAGAATATTTGAGTTTTGGTTTTCAGGAAAATTGTTACCAAAATAAAGGTGATAAAGGTTTCATTTCTTGGAGCTTGTGGATAAGGTCAGTTTCTAAACAAGTTTTGAACGCATAGCAGAGTCTGAACTAGTGAATAATATTCTTCCATATGCCCTATTTGATACAAAAGATAGTGAAGTTAAATTGACACTTTAAGTGGTTTATGGTTTGGAAATCTACCTAAATACTGAAAATTTGTCATTGTAGCTTTTACTGACATTTTATTGTATTGTTTACATCAGCATCGGGTATCACTATGATTTTGTCATCTGATTTTTGACAATTTTTTTGATTTCATTCCTCCTTTTAAACTAAAATCAAACGAAGTTTCCATACCTAATTGTTTACAGGAGGCTTGAGAACAATGTTTCCCTAAATCTGGCAGCTCCATTTTCTAAAAATTATACTTTTAAATCAACGACGTTGGAAAAATACTTCACAATCTTCACTGACAATATTCGTAAAATGATAAAGCAGGAAATCCTATCAGGTTTATTTATAGATATAACTGCGTCATTTCCTTTTATTTTTGATTATTAGGTCTTTAAGGTTCATTGAAAAATACATAGGTTTCAGTCTGGATATTCGAAAATAGATCAATCCCATCATTCCTATTATTGGGAAATCCCTTCCGTAGCACGTGTTGATTTGCGAAGTAAACAGAAGGAAATTTCTTGATTTTTCTGGAAAATTTAATCAAATCTGCTTCATAATGCCGACTGGTTTGGCATTGAACGAACCTGATGTGATGAAGGCCGTAAATGGCCTGTTTGTGTTGACGGACAAGAAACTAGATCTTGTCGATGTTCCAAAAAAAATAAATTTAGTGGTCACTTTGAAGAAAATTCCCAAAACAGACAAAGCTACAACCATAGAACTAAAATTACCAAGATCTTCCAGTTATGGAAATCAGTCAGTTTGTCTCTTTGTCAAAGATTTGGACAAAGATGACCGAGAATTTGAAAAGACCAAATACCATTATCAAGATCTCTTGAAGTCTGCAGGACTAAAAGAAATTCCTGATATTATCCCAATCAAAGAGTTGTTGTTGGAATATAAAGCATTTGAAGCCAAGCGAAACCTTTCCAATATGTATGATGTCTTTTTGACAGACAGTCGTGTGGCGAAGGTCCTACCTAGAATTCTGGGCAAACATTTTTATGGTCGAAAAAGAATCCCTAAACGAGTGCTCATGGATGCCAAACCATTAAAGAAAGAAATACTTAATGCCATCAAAAGAGTGAATTATGTAATGTCGATGAAGGGCTCCAGTAGTATGGTCACCATTGCACATCGAAAAATGTCAGCCCGAGATGTGTTTGTTAACGTAATGGCTGCTGTCAAGCAGATATCGGAAGAAATACCAGGAGGGCTTCATAATATCCGTAATCTATATATTCGGACACAAGAATCAAGTGCAGTTCCATTATACATTTCCTTAGATTCGCCTAATGATATTGTGGTTCCTGATAGTGTTCAAGAGGAACCAGAGCCGCAGGAACCAGAAGAAATTACGACCCTACCAGACGGACAAAAAGTACAGGTCACTGATGCAGGCGACATTTTGCTGTACTCCAATGATGGCAAATTGTTGTCCGTGGCGGAACAAAACGAACTGTTGTTTGGAAATAATGATATGGAAAAAAGTGAAAGGCGTGCGTCGAAGAGGAAAGCCAGCCATCTAGAAAAGTTAAAAGCAGAATTGATGCCTGTCGTCAAAAAACCTAAAAAAGTCAAACCAAGGAAGTTTGTCAACAAAAATGACAAAGCATCTGTCATCAAAAACAAGGAAGCTTCTGTCACCAAAACCAAGAAAGCTTCTGTCATTAAAAACAAGGAAGCTTCTGTCACCAAAACCAAGAAAGCTTCTGTCACCAAAACCAAGAAAGATTCTGTCACCAAAAACAAGAAAGCTTCTGTCACCAAAAACAAGAAAGCATCTGTTCCATCTGCTCGTAAAGCACCCAGAAAGCTGAAAGCTAAATAAGGACTGATCTTGTAATTATAATGTATATTTTCAAGCGTGTAATATGACTAAAAGTGTATACTATGAACTATTATGTCTAAGACATAAAGAAAGTTATGTTTTCAATATTAATAAGGACCACAAGGGCATCCTGTTTTCAGCCTTGAATTTTGAATAAAACTGTTTTGTTTCATATTTCTGAGTAATTTGTTCAATGTTTATAATGAATCTGTTGTTGAATTGAGGATCCAAGAGACAACTCACTAAAATGCTAGAGGGTATATCTTTAACATAATAAATTTAATAGCTAAGCTATTGGAATAGTGAAGAGAACAGATAAATGCAATACCAGAATTCTGTAGGTTGACCTGGTCATGACTAATAATGAACAAGGGACTTCAGGACATCCAAACATATCAGAAATTCCCCTATTTGGTGCTAGGGCTGTCTGGGCTGGTATTTAGTGGTGAAAAAATTGCTGATGTGAAATGTGAAGAACTCAGAGCAGTTGTATTTCTTTTCTGTGTCCACCTTTCCACAGAGTAAACAGTGACCTTTTAAAATTAAAAATTGACAAAAAAACCAAAGTTTTTCATATTTTAATATATTTATACTAAATAAACAAATACATCTAGATCATACTAAAGTCAAGCACAGATATTTCTACACATTGCAGTCTGATTCAAAATATAAACACAAACCGTCCACAAGTAGAAGTAGTCGCGAGCTAAGCAGACTACTCCTTTCAAAACACCTGATGGTACTTCTCTTCTCCACTACTATACTACCTTTACTCCCGATTTTGCCATTCTTTAGGCGAGATTGTTGATTGACGGAATTGTCTATCATGTACAGAATTTTGTCACAGCTTAATATATTTTAGGTAGTAATGGACAAATACTTCTAGCTTGTTTATTTCAATTTATTATATCCAAAAAAAGGTGGATTACTCATATTGTTAAGATTTGGACCTTGAAATGAACAAATTTCTTTTCTTGACCTTATATACATTTTGAAATTCAAAATACACTGAAACATCTCAATAATGTCTGAATGCAGAGATAATGTCATGATTCAGCTCCTTATATTTCATAGAACACACCTTTCTTGTAAACATTGTTAGATCGAGACTGTGTCAAATAGCAAAGAGAATATATAAAATAAAAGATTTGAAGCTAAAAAAATTTGACTTTTTTGCCCGTTTACTGAATAATATGACATCAAATGCACCAGAATGTTAAGAAAAATAACGAAGACGCTAGCTAGAGAACATCTTGGCATACATTTGTTTTTCTTTGGTTGCATAATTCTTTTTCTGTGTTTGAACTCTGTTAATTTCTTTCTTTATACCTGTAATGGAAAAGAATTTTAAGATTTAGACAGTTTTATTTTGCATCACTCAGTCTAAAAGTGAGGAACTCCAGAACTGCACATGTATTTTGGCCTACTTGAGTTCTATTAGAAGACAACCAGATGTGAGTCAAAAAACGATGGGGTCAGATGGTATTGGTGATTTACCATAATTTTATAAATATAATTTCGAGAAAGTTTAAAGGGTGACACAAGTTCTCGAAGATGTTGGCCTTGATTTTTATCAATTTATACCCAAGTGAATAATGAGGAAATATGACTTGCTAAAGGCCATCATTTGCTAGACATAACAAGGCAAGATTAATATAAATTTAAAGATGGGTTTCCTTATTTTTTAGTTTCAAATTAAGCAAATTATTTGATTAATTGATGTTTCTAATGAAATATTATGTATTCTTAATCATATCATTATGTTCTTATTGCTTAAGAGTTTAACCAATCATAAATGTCCTGTAAGTACAGTCTGGATAAACAAAAAGACTTTTTGACATTTCTTGATCTGTCATTCATTGGAATTCTGCTGGTAATTCTCTTCTAATTTAGCTAATTATAAATCATTTATGGACATGTGAGACAAACTGGTATTTTTCCAAGTCATTAGAACACTTCTACTTTCTAATCATATAAGTATTAGCATTTTCATTTTAATAAATTAAAATAAGGGAACCCATCTTTAAATTCAATAAAGCTCTTGATAATATCAACAAATGTTTACAAACCTGCATCATCAGGCTGTGATTTCAATGCTGCATTCAGATGAACCTAAAACAAAATAAATGATGTGAACAAATTATTCATGTTCTGTAAGTCAGATTTATCATGGTGGTGGTTTTTGAAATAGTAGATGAGGAGAAACGGAAGTAGAAATGTCTCTTTATTTCAATTAACGCTTCACTACACTAGGAAATAATGAATAAGAATCTCGCCTTTACAATGGATTCATCAATAATCAAACCGAGTACTAACGATCCGAAATGCAATACGAAACCCAAAATCCAAACAACATATTGAATTTTACCAGGAAGCCTGTAAGAAATAATCACTATAGAATACTGAGAATCCAAAATACAGACTTACCAATGCTTCATCCCAATTTCCTAAACCAAAAGTAGCTTGTCCTTTTCTAAACAAAGCTTTAGCATTGCTACTGTCAATTTCTAGGGCCTAAAATAACAACAAAAGTATTATTTAAACTTATTTAAACACCTGATGTCATTCTGTGACTAGATTAGTAAACTTAGCATATGATTATGGGAGTGCACATAGCTAATAATGTTTAATTTGGTATATTTATTGCACAAGGTATAATGTTGTTATCTTATCAAACCCACCAGAAGGCTTGGCAGACAGTGGCTTAGCTTACGGCCAGCGAACAACATACAGTGAATACCTGTAATTTAAATAATTAGTCTGATCAGTGCCAATAAGGCACCTGTGTTTCTTTAATCTGATGTCATACAATATACTTTCCAATAAAAACTTATCAACAATTTTAACCAACTATGACGATTTATCATACATAAGACTGCGTCCAGGAACTGGCTCTGTGAGAGAACAGAGATACATGTCATTCACCTCAAACCAAAGTTTCTATCCTAAAAGAACTAGAATCTTCCCATGTGTATAAAAGAATATAAAATAAATCTCCAGTCAAACAAACCTCATTACAGTTTTCAATAGCTTCATCGTATTTCTCTAGTTTTAAACAACATAATGACCTAGAATAGAACATAATATCAATTAAAACTTAATGAATGGTCTTTGTGACAAAAGTTTTAATAATAAATTTCACAAAAAATATCTTCTTAACAAAATTTATTTCGCAGGACTGACAGAAATTGACTTCCTCTCTACTTCTTCAAAACTATAGATTTTTACAGTGGCATTTATATGAATCAATGGGTGGAGGGGCTGAGTGAGGGCCCAATTAATTGTTAAAGGAGGCATTTAATAATTAATACGAAATTTGAAGATAGTTTGCCAAGCAATACACCCACTGGCAGCTTTGATTTTGAATAAAAATATTTAGCAGTACAGTAACAATCACCAGTATGAAATATTCGACCTTCAGTCATACATTTCTTTTGAACTCTTTGGTCGATACTGAATAATATTGAGTATGAGTTATTGCCCTTGTTCTTGAAAACGTGTTCAATTTTTAACTCGTGAAACCTCTTTTTCAATTGGGTTTATCCTTGGATGATAACAAACACTCATGCCAAGTTTAGTCAAAATACATCAAGAATTGTGCTTTCTAGAACTTTTACAAGCTAAAAATGGCACACGTTTTCAAGAACAAGGGCAAAAACTCATACTTAATACTTTTCGATCCTTCTGATTTTCAATTCGGTTCATCCTTGGGTGATACGAACACTCATACCAAGTTTTGTCTAAATCAGTCAAGAATTTTGTCTTGTAGAGTGTTTACGAGCAATTGTGGACTGACGGACGGATATGAGTGACGGCAATATATGCCCCCCCCACCCCCATTTCATGTGGTCGTATAAAAATGAGGGGCTATAGCCAGGCCATCAATAGGACTGTTAACTCATACTTGATAATAATATAGAAATATATTATAACATCATTTTAAGTAATTTTATAGAAATGGAACTCACATATTTAATAATAAAGATAAAACATGGCTTCTTCCTATCTCATTTTCTTCTTCTTCACCTAAACTCATTTCATCTGTCATTGTTGATAAAAATCTGGAAAGATCAGAAAGAAATTCATTTCTGTACAGCCATGTCTGTTTTCACAGAGATAATGAGATGTAGGAGACTCAAGCTAGCAAGAAAGTGGATCAATGTATTCATTCCATTATAAGTTTTGGGATTTGACCGAACGTGTTTGATGTCTAACTAGCTTGTCGATTTTTTAAGAAACTTGACCTACCTTAGAGATTTATCATATTTTTTCTTAGCTCTGGTATAATCTTGTTTTTTAATCAATGTTGTTCCTATAGCTTTAATTTCTTCAGATATTTTTATTATCTTCTCTTTATCATCTTTCTGGATTATAATCAAACAATAGAAATAGCAAAATTGCACCTGACTTCTTGTGGGTTATTGTCTCTTAAACACAATAGAAAATATTTGTACTGTGTTTCACTGTGCCCATTGCATTTCAAATTAGGTATTGGGTTATAAATATTCATATCAAAGCCATGCATTATAATCCACGCCTCTTTATCACGAGCAGCTTCATATGAAGTTATAATGACTTAGTGAACCACTGTACTTTCAATTTTTTCATTAAGAGTCTAGACTTTTTTTTTACATTGAGCAGTCAATGCAATGTAGAAGATTCACCAAATTGGCAGAATAACTGGGAGCTATCTATCTATCAGTTTAGCAGCTTAACTACTTTTTAAAAAGTCCACATAGTTACTAATCTCTATTTAAATGTAGGACTAAATAAGACTGTCTCCCATCCAACTTTTATTAGCAATCTATACTTCTTACAAAGACAAAGCAAGAAACCTACGTTTTTAAAATCTACACCCTCGGCATCCTGTGGCCAATCAGGATACACATCACCTGTCCCATCATCCATCTCTACGCCGTCTGGTTGCCCTGGTAATATTTCACCACAATCTAAGATCTTACATTCCTGCAAAAAGAAACAAAAATAAAACATAAATCTTCCTACAAAAAGTTCTACCAAAATCTTGATTGCTAAATGATTTTCGAACTTGTGGGTTGAAATTTAGTTTGGTGATAATTTTAGACTCAAATCGGTTAGTAACCTATGACATGTTTTATAGTATACTTAATGCTAGCTGCAAATACCAAAGAGATCAATCATTGGCTTTACCAGCTGATAAAACTTATAATCAGCTATTCATAAGGCTTTCTCAATTAAAATCCCCTACCAATCAAAAATTATCTGAAAGTTTATTGTCACTTGCAGGCCATTATAAACATTCTATCATGTCTTGCCTGGATTTAGTCCCCACTCTCTTAAATTTCTCATCATGCATGAAATGAGCCTCCTTCACAATTTTGTGGCCTCTACTTGCACCCCCTCCCAACCTGTACATGTTATAATTTCAGTCCGTTATAAATATTTTATCATGTAAACCCCACATTTCTTGTCATTAAGTTCTTGATAGGCTGGTGAAACAAGCCCCTCTTACAATACTGTGGCCCCTATTAATCCCCATAAACACCCCCCACCCACACCTAATGAATCACTAAGAAATTGTTTTAAAATGAAAATACTCTAACCTGTAATGGTTTATCTTCTTGAGTCTCCTGAGCCTCCAGTTGTCTAACAATTCCAATACCTTTTAAAACTTTACCAAACACAACATGTTTATCATCTAGATGAGGAGTAGTCACAGTGGTTATAAAAAACTGAGATCCATTAGTATTCGGTCCAGCATTGGCCATACTTAATAGGCCTGGTCTTTCATGCTGAAATTAATAGAATGGATATCCTTTCACAAGTGTTTTAAAGGGAATGCAAAGAGGATTTCTAAAAATTTTAACACTAAGGACCTTAAGTGATAAAGCATACTTAGTGATGTAATCAAACTTAGTGGAATAGCAGGACAGACATCTGATAGAATATTGATGCAAATTGATGCTATTAGTGTCCCCGATAAACATTTTTTTTATTATAGAAAACAGCTTTACAATCTATTAAGTAAAATAAATATAATCAGTTATTGAAAGATGGGTAAAATCTGGTTTTTCACCTGTATAGCTTAATAGACAAGAAATGAATTCATATACAAATTGTGTCTCAAACACGTTTCAGAAATATGACCTTATATTATAGATATCATCCTGTTCTAATTATCACCTATCTGCATATGCAAACTTGTTGGTACAGCAGTATCTGTGACATTATTGAGTGAGTTTCCAGCTTACAGAGCCACTAAGCCTAATTCCTTCGGCTAACGGCTCTTATTTTTCAAAATTTTGTGTTTTTATAACACTAATCCTGAATCATGAAGATGTATATGCATGGTGCAATCAGTATTCGAAATCTTACTTTATATTTGAAATTTTCATCTTCAAACTTTTCACCATAAATACTCTCCCCTCCTGTTCCATCACCAGCTGTAAAATCTCCTCCTTGGATCATAAAATCTTTTATAACTAGAGAAAAAAACCATAGGAAATTAATATTTGTAGGATATAATATGTATCTTGTGATTCCTGAATCTAATTTAAAATCCATACAATTTGTTTATTACTTCCTGGCCTGGGCTAGTTCTTGTTTGGAGGATACCATCTTCATCTCCCTCTTTCATTAACCTATCAATGATTTCAACCACACTCTCGCGTTAATTGTTTAGCAGGGTGAACATTCTCTGTATCAGTAATAAGTTATTAATCTGCTAACTAATGGACAAGACCACTTTCGTTGTTTGAAGTATTTATATCTAGTGTTGATGTGTCACTTACTTCGATGGAAGCCACATCCTTTGTAATGTAGAGGTTTCCCTGATTGTCCAACACCTTTTTCTCCAGTACACAGAGCTCGGAAATTCTCGGCTGTCTTTGGAACAATGTCTTTAAATAACTCGAATAATATTCTTCCAACTGCAATCAAAGTAATTCATACACAACTTCTGGATTAATGATAAATTTCCAACCCATGTTTTTTGGCAATGTGATCAATGGTAATCAATAACCATAAAAATATAAAGACATTTTTATTTCTTGAGTAAAGTAAATCTGTTCACTAATTTCCTAATCATTTTAAACTATGTTAACTTTACACTGGAAACCATTTTGGTTTGGCAGCGCTAGATGCCAAATTGACTATAATACTATAGTTTGAATCCTCTTCATGGTAAGACAAATTCTGATGCCTGCACCAGTTCTTTCGAGAGTTGGCCCAGTGTCGGCTTTCACCCACAAATACCTAACATTATCAGGGTACACAAAAATAACTTACATTATAAACCTAGAGTTGAAAAATGTATCGTAAGAAATTTTACATAATCTTACCCTTTTCTCCACCGATATCAACATCGAAGAAAACTTTTGGGTTTTCAGAAGCCATTTTCTCTCGTATCTACAAATGTCGCAGCGTCTTGGTGCTCAAAAACTTAAATATACGGTACCTAACAATGAAACGCCGGCCCACGCTTGTTTGTTGATGTCGGTAATAAGCAGCCAGTTCGTGTTACGTTATGTAGTCATCTTGTCTTATTTAAGACATAATGAAGCCAATTTGCACAATGGACCAGTGCAAGTTCTAGCGTGTTATGAACGTGAAACAAATGAGAGATGGTACAGAATATGATAAAACACAGAATATGAATTAGACATTTATATTATCATTTTTAAGGATCTAGTCGTCTTTCTTTATAAATTTGTCCAGAGATTATTCCATTAGCAATCAACCAAACAACAAGTCAAGCTTAGTTTAAGTAGAAGCGCTTACTTTACAGTGGAATACAGTATGAACAGTATGAAGGGCATTAAAGTGGGTGTATGCGCATAGATAGGTCTACCAGTCGGCGGCACTAGCGTCTCCAGACTGCGGTGTAAGGGAGGGGCAGACTGACTTGGACTAAGTGGGAGAACAATGGTCAAGGTTGGAAATCAAAATGCGCAGCTCTGTGGAACCGTCTTGGGCGAAAGCCTTTCATCGAGCGTCTGAGGGGTTCATCCTCAAGAAAATAGCCTATATTCATAGAAACCCATACTTCTGACCAAATTTAAAATGGACTCCCGTTCCTTCTACAGTTTCGTACCGTAGAACACAACAGGGTACCAGTTTAGGTCAAAATGCCAGAAGGGGGAAAAAAGAGCACTTTGCTTTGACGTCAAAAACTGTGACGTCATCAGGATAACGTCACGCGTAAATTTCCGCCATTTTGTTTTTACCATGCATCAACAGCTGCAATATCCAATGGAGGTGTTTAGTTTCCTGTTGAAATTGTTGATTACTGCCTTGCTGCATCTCATCATACCCTCAAGTAAGCATATGTTCTGAACTGACTATATTGTCAGAATACAAGACAAGGCAATCGTGACCATCACATGCAACATGAACATGGACACCAAGTGGCATGTCGGCGTGGCATGTCCATCCATGCACATGAGTTCTTGGTATGTTTGTTGCTATGTTCAGCATGAGTAAAGCTGGAACTTCGAATTTATCAGGCGGTGTTGTTATTTTAAATCTTCCATTCCCTTCATGCTTGGACTATGCATGGTTACATCGGTGCCACTCGTCAGAAACAGTCGAGCCAAACCAATCACTCAATAATGAGCATGAATTTTATGTCTCGTAACACCAGGTTGTGATCACGAAGGTGTATTAATAAACCAGCTATTCCAGAACTACAGTCGAGATGCTCGTCCTAGAATGAATGCATCAGAATCAGTATCGGTGACTCTAGATTTCTACATGTCAAGACTGGATGAACTGGTAGGTCAGTGTTTTATCTCTTATAACCAGTTCTTTACAGATCACGATACCAGTCACAATCTGCCCTCTGTTAGACACGATAGTTTCATATAGGCCTATGAATCTATTAATTTAGTGCTGGCACGATATATGAATCTATGTATCGCGATACGGCATGCCACGATATGTGTATAGGAAATTACCCAATATCGAAATATATGTATCGTATCGCGATACAAGGATCTTATCGTGGCATGATTGGCAATATCCAGCACTAATCAATGTAGGCATATTGGTACACATTAGTTAGCGAAGGTCGTAGTTATATATTCTGTGTAACTGCTCTGCCCAGGTGAATGTTCAAAGTGAAGCACCCTCTCTCTGTTAATTGTAAAGGATCTGTCTTTAATTATTACACCCAATGACATGGTCTTGAAAGTAACAATCACACTCAAAAACAGTATAGTAATTCAATAAAAGAGTTCCATTGTTAAAGCCATTCTTCTGTTTCAGAACATTAGAAGTGAAGCCCTATCAGTGACTGGATGGTTATATGCGGTAAGAATGTAATTAAGTTTCAAGGGATTTTAGAGGAAAACACGTTCATATATCATAGCGAATCAGAGCTTCTTGCATAAGATTTGCTGGGTGCCCAAACCAACCACATTCGAAGGTACTATTGGATAAAGATTAGTATCCAAATAAATTTGCCTTATCAAACACCATCTTTCAGGAATGGATTGACGACTTCTTACAATGGAATCCAGAAGAGTTTGATAACATTACTCGTTTGGTTCTTCCCGCCAGCAAGGTCTGGCTACCCGATCTATCGGTTGGTAACAGGTAAGTTTTTGTCTTCAGACTGACCACAATTTGCTAGCCATATAGTTTGTTTAAAGATAATGTTTTTTTAATCGTTTCCTGTTGTTAAACGGGATTTTTCAACCCCAAATTAAGGATCAGAGGGCTCAGAGGTACTAGATGACTACACACCAAGATATCTTGGAGTTTGACTAACCCGAGAATTAGCAATTGAACGATGTTTAGATTATTATTTATGTTAGTTGAACACAGTGTTCCCTCTTCTGTTTCAGCATAGACCAGATATTCCGGAGAGAGTTCGAGACTATGTTTAGAGTAGCGGTATATTTTAATGGAAAGGTTGTATGGGAGCCCGGTGGAATTTTCAGCACCTCGTGTCCAATCGACATCACCTACTACCCTTTCGACTCGCAGTCTTGTGAAATCAGCATTGGCAACTGGCAATACACTGACGACCAAGTAAAACTCAGTAATCGATCTAAAGTGATCAGTTTTGAAAATTTCGATCCGAACGGAGAGTGGATGATCGATAAAACCGAAGTATATCGTGGGGAATTCGTGTATGTGTGTTGTCCAGATTTGAATTTTCCGGAGATCAATTTCAGACTGTACATCCGGCGGAAGTTCTTGTACTATTTTATCAATATTATGATTCCGTGCCTGATGATGTCGGTGCTAGTCCTGATGGTTTTTTACCTACCACCAGATGCAGGAGAGAAGATTTCTTTGGGAGTTACTGTTCTTCTTTCCTTCTCCGTGTTTCAACTGATGATAGCTGAAAGTATTCCAACTTCAGCTAACACCACACCCTTATTAGGTAAGTGTTTGCGTTTAAAATCCTTGGATACATCTGACCACAAAAAAAGTGGCATTGTCCCGACATTTCGTTTGTCCTTGAACCAGAATGTCGATGGTTCTTTGATGAAGTTGTCTATATTTCCTTGAAAATAGTCAGGGAAAGTTGCTTTGTACAATACAGCAAATACATTCATCTTCGGCTCTCACGGACTATGCTATAAGAACCATCATCAATCCCGTCCGCCCCTTTTACCAAAATTTAAAACAAGGTTCCATTTTTGAATATCGAACCCTTTTTCTTTCAGAAATCTACCTTCTGTGTTTCATGGGAGCGTCAACATTTTCCGTAACAGTTTCCGTCTTTGTATTGAATTTACATCACAGAACGGAGTATAACCGCCCTCCTAGACTGTTACGGAAGATTTGCTTGGAATACCTGGCGCCGTGGCTTTGCGTGGGCAGTAAGAGAAACTCTGTGGTACCTTTAAATTCGCAGGAAGACACTTCAAGCTCTAAATCAGAGTCACAGGAGAAAATTCAGGTGTCTATTGATATCGACAGAAAGCGCGATTCTCGAAATTTATTGCACAAGGCGACTGCGGGAAGCCGGTCAGAGCATGGGAAACCTTCTCAGGAAGAGCAAGAAAAGATCCACCCGGATATTAAGGTCAGTAGCAGCACCCATAATGATGTAGGATCTGCTTCTGTAGGATCGACTTCAACAACTCATTTGTCGACCGCAGCAGCCAAGTCGACCATGAAACTAATGAAAAGTATTGCTCATTTTGATTCTTCTAACAGTATTCAGTCCCGGAAAGAATTTCTGGCAGCTGTAAAAGAACTGTATCACGAGGTGTGCCAGACGAGAAAGGACGATGAATTGGGACAAGCTCTGGAAAATGAATGGAAGTTAATAGCCCGGGTGGTGGATAGATGTTTCTTTATAGTTTGTACCTTGACTCTTATCATATCCTCGGCGGTTATATTTGGTATTATGCCCTTCTATCATAATGAACAAGTATTGATCAACAACTAGATGAGACAAGCACCTGTTCTCGGGTCGTAACTCGCTGGTGCTAATAGATCCAAAAAACTTTGTATCTTTTATTTCTAGCATCTAGAAAATGATGTTGTCCCACCGCTACCGTGAACACCCTACATCTGCAACTTTGACTGCGTGGAAAAATTTATTTCAAAAATATGGAAAGGTGAGACGGACTGTATGCCGTCAGAGTTGAATCAGAATATAGAATAACATGTTTATCTCTTTGACAATACTGGTGACCCATATCTTAAATGCAGTTTAAATGAATAAGTAAAAAGGGGGCTAACAAAGACATAACATGTTTTTATTGTAAATGTATATTAAACAATTATTGTAAGAACAGAAATATTTCTATATTCCTAATCTTAGGCACTGAAAGCATCGGCGTTGACTGGGTTAGAGACACGAAGATAAAAATTCCGGAAATTCCGGAATCTGAAACCCTGCTCTCTATCCTCAACCAGGACACGTCTAGCACTGTATTGTTACCTCTGGTAATTCTATCTCTGGACGGACAAAAAAAAGTTTTGGAGGGAGACCGATGATACTCTTTATAATTCGTCTTTTGAAGCAGTGTAGTCGACTCTATACTCTCGTTTCACTCCGATTAAAACTCGGAACGGATGGTCCGAAAAGTACACTTGCATTGACCTTATGATGTCCCGTCGTGGCACATCAAACTCGTCTTTTGATAAACAGGTTTCATAGAACTGCACAGTGTCCTTTAAAGCCTCCACCCACGGGGTTGGGCTCCATTTTAATTGTCTCTCTGCTTTACTAATGTCCACTGGACCGAGAGACACGGACGGAAACAATCGGAATGAATCTGAATTTTCATCAACCCCTATTTCCACATCTGAAATGTTCAGTAAATTTTTAATCTCGTTTAAGAATTCTTGTAGTGTGAACGTTTCTCGGAAAGCTAGATTATAAGCCTGGTTTAAAACATCTGGATCCGGTGAATTGTTGGTCAAATCCAGGATCAGATCCGCCACGTCCTGGGAGTAAACAAAACTCATGGGTTGTTTGGCCACATTTGCAGGAATCGTAACGGGCTTGTCCAAATATTTCTGCAATCGCATCCACATTTGATAAATCCACCAACGATACGTGTTATCTCTTGGTCCGACAACGTCCGGTAGACGCAACGAAATGTACGGAATGCCATTGGCTTGTAGCTGCTTTTCTAATGCCTCTTCACTTTCCAGTTTTCTGTGGCCGTAATCGTCCTTCGTTGCATACTCTTGCATTTCGTCTGGATCCGTTGATCGAATTGCGTCTGTTTCAATGGATGGATTCGAATGATTCTTTAAACAAACTTCATAGACGGAATCGGAACTAATATAAACGTACAATCCAACACGACCCTTCAGAAGCGATACGGCTTCGTTTACAGCGAACATGTGATATGCGCTAAAGTCTATAACCAAATCGAAACGTTGTCCTCCGTCTAACATGGCCACCAGTGCTTCACACTTGGACAGTGACTGCATACGGTCAAATTTGATATGATGTACATGGGGCTTGATGGTGATGTATGAATTCCAATACCAATTACCACGGTTGATCAAGGTACATTTGTGTCCAGCTTGGATTAGTCCTTCCACAGTGGGGGCTCCAAGCAAACCATTTCCACCAAATACAAGGATATTTTTAATACTCGGTGGCTCTGAAGTCCTCGGCTTGCTGGAAACCTCTCCAATAAACACACACAATAGAACTAGAGTCAAAAAATACGAATCCATTTTGACACAGTCTGCAAGAAAACTTCACCTGGTCGCCATTTTGGAATTCAGTTAAGAAAAGCTTTGTGATGAAATTTGATATTGGTGTAGACTATTCTATTTTTAGAATGCTTCCTGTATACCAGAAACTATTTCCACTACACCTACACTGTCGTCTGCTACGAATAAAGGACAGTGAACCCATCCCACGATTAACACAAAATTGCTAAAATATTTGCAGGCTAATTTGGTTACCTTGTTCCCACTAGCAAGGTTACTACTTGACTTTCTCTCCAGCCTTTGAAGTCGATACTTGACAGCAGTATCAGCGAGCAACAAACGTTAAAACACCGATGGGTATATTTAACCTCGCAGTCAGTTGTCATTGTAATTATCAGAGTCAACAGGCTAGGACTTTGAACCCTGCAGTTATCCTTCACGATTAGTACAGATTAATTTGTTAAATTCAAGTTGAAATAAAGTGGAGTAAGAATTACTCAGGACAACGGTATATGTAAATTGCTGACAAAAGCCATAGGGTTTCACATACCAGTCCATAGGCCGTCCAAAAAGTCAGCAATAAAGACCAGCTCAATCCAAGATGTATTGCTCTTCATTTTTTATCACAAAATTGAATACGATTGCATGTCAGGGAAGATAACTCTTAGACCTCTAAACGAAACCTGTCCAAATCTGAACTCATCTAAAACCAAATGTAGTTCATTCACCACAATTCAAGCAAAGCATCAATTGGCTGATGCAAGTAAATTTAAAGATAGCTTGCCAGGCAAGGTAACATGCGCCCACTACCAGCTGTCAGAAATGATAACAAAATCTTTAGTGGCTTAATAATGAATTTTCAAATAATCTTAAAATCATCCATAAGTCAAGGCAAAAACCTGAAACAGTTCATCAAGTTATCATGAAATTCAAACATGAACAATGTCTCATCGCTGTACACACAAGGGCAATAACTCAGAAACTGTTGATCTGATTATTACCAATTTTTAACTTGACCGAGATCTCATCAATACATACATACATCTAGTTTCATCTAGGTTGGATAAAAACTGTAGTCTCTATTGTGCCTACAATCGAAATTTGATTCGTTTTTACTAAGGCAAGGGCAATAACTTATTACCACCTACAAGAAATGTGGACAGACCGACGGACAGGGGCCACGGCAATATATGTCCACAAATCATGTGGGCGTATAAAAAGGATTCATACGATAAGTAAAGTAAAATAGGCCTCTGCTAATTATGGAAAGATGACTTAAAATATAACAATACTTTTGTCAGGAATTAAATAAAATCACATTTATTCACAATTCACAAACCCATCAATTTATTCATACAAACAAAATAATAACTATAATCCTTGAATGACATTTAGAAGTAGATAGAATATATAAATAAAATACTATTATGGATATACTACTCCTCTTTAATTTAAGCAACATTTCAATTCGATTCAATTGTCTCTTATTTCATTGCTTGATAAGATTCCTGTATGCAAATTGAAAGTTACTTAAATTAAATAGGAGTAGTATATCCATAATAGTGTTTTATTTATATAAGATAACTGTTTTTATTTCAAATTATACTACCATTATGGCTGTTTTTATACTATAATTAATGACTGTGATACAAGAATACAAAATATAACATTGTAATAAATTATCATACTAATATCTTTTATAACTATAATTCCTTCAAACTTTACAAACATATTATATCATATTTTCATCAGTTTCATTCTACCCTTACATTATATCTGAAACATCTAGTCCAAAACATCATCACTTGAATAAGATATTTTCAACCAAAGGCATGCATGTATTTTTGAATTTTTCTTTGCCGTATTGTAATTAAAGTAATTTTTTCAGGAAATAAACAAATATTTTTTTTAATCTCAAATTTTATGAATATTTCTGAGGAATTTATCTCCAAATTTAACAAATTTTTACTTAGTATTTTTTCAAAGTTAGTCTCAAGATGATGTACAGAATAGAAAAATAGAAGTTCCCAATCACAGCCCTGTAGAACCAGAAACCAGATATTTTACATAGTAAATATTCAGTTCCCAGTAAAAAGCGTGCAGAAATCGGGTTTCCAGATTATTGCCAACCTTATTAATGCAGCTCATATCTCTTGACTATCTTTTCTTAACTTATGATATTTTGGACAAGTCCCAGAGTTAATTAAAACTACACAATAAACATAAATAAACTAATATATACATGAATACACAAATTCAGGTGCAAAATTATTTCTTAATGTGCAAAATAAGAAATTTTTCAAATGATATCTTATAAATGAATTGGATGTTTATACACGAATGCCAAGGAGTGAAAGATGAGTTCTAAAGTGCAAAATATGAAACTTTCAAAGCAATATTTTATAGATGAACTTTTGGCCATGAATTTAAAATCATTCTCCGAGTGACTATTGCCTTCTGTTGAATAGTGACTTGTTGCTTGTCAATAGTAACTGGTTTCTTTTCAACAAACATTATCTCTGAATTCCAATATTGCAAGAAGAGTATGGATTCTGAATTTTAAAAAAAATATTTACAAAAGCGATTATGAAACATAGTGATGTTCACTACAACCCTTATTTTTTTAAGAAAATGCCAGAATAAGAATCCTTTATGTTCATTTTTAAGTACATTCTTGTACAAAATTTCCATTTGATTGCAAACATATTCACTGCCAACAGCGTTATATTTTGTACAAAACCATTTCAAATATTTTGAAAAATAATTGCAGACAATGTGTTTAAAAAGTTAAAATATAAAAGACAAAGATAATTATTATAATTCAGAAAAAATGAAGAAAAATTATTGATATATAAATATATGAAATAAATGTACAATCAATGATGAGGCCCACTAGCACCTCCCCCACCCCTCTCAATTATGTTGCTTTACATGTTCCTTTAATGAAGATGTTAGCTCTCAATTTTAAAAGAATTGTCCACTTTCAGATATAGTTATTAGATAAAATACAACCTTGTGATAGAAATGACCAACAATAATAAGTACCTAACATATTGAAATTTCAAACAGACATGACTGGCTATAGAGAACAATCCACAATCCTCATTCAAGTTTCTCAAGAAATCTTAAGCTTATTACTGGCAATGAAATATGTGACATTTTTTAGGAGTGATATTATTATAACTTTTGATGAAATTTACATAAAATATTTTTTAATCAGAAACTTAGATTCTAACAAATACAGTAGTAATAAGCTTGATTGGTTGAATTCTCTGTAATTGAAATATTAACCAATCAGCAAGATACAAGGACATCATAATTTTCAGACAACAGAATTGATTGGTTGATATTAAATATTTGTATTTCTAACCAATCAGAGTCATATTTTAAGTTCCATAACTTACAGACTTTCTGACAACAGACCATTTATTATTGCATTGCGTGGTACTTGAAATTTATCTTAACCAAATCTCTTGAATTCAGTCTTATTTAAATTAGATCAAACTTTCCTTTTTGTTTTTTATTAGCTTTTATTTTTAATAAAGTCACTTTAGTGACAGGTCTCTTGAACATTCGTCCAATAACCTTTTGACCTTTGCTTGAACCAATCTAATTTCTTCACTCTATCACAAAATTACAGCGTAGAACATCACAGAAATTTGTCCCTAACTGAAGTGGCTATATCAAAAATAAAAGAACGAAAGTTTGGTCTACATGTAATTTTAATTAGACTGTGTGAAATATGCCTCAGGGAAATGAAGATCCAAATTTGATCTATTGAGCGGTAGCTGGAGCAGGTGCTAGTCTTGATACAATGGAGATACCTTGAAATAATAAATTACGAATAAACTGGGGACATTGAGGTTTGTTACATAAATATTCTACTGTCATTCTTAATTCTGAAAATAAAGTCCTGAAAAATACAAAATTGTGTCATTATTAAAGATTGTTTTATAAGTAAACCTTGTTATCATAGGCCTAAAGATCAATATTTTCTAAAGAAAAAGAAAATATTGAAATTTAATTCAGAATCAAGTTCTTCAAGAAAATAAAAAATGGTGATGTCGTGTCACAGCAGTAAAATGACAACCTTGACATTTTTAACCACAATCTGTGTTTACTAAACATGACTTGAATAAGGTCTATTGTCTTCATGTCTATATTTGGCTCTCTTTGAGACATTTTTTCCTCATATCCTCATCAAAAAGGGCAAAGGAAAATGGGGAATTATTTTGACATGTAAAATAGATATAATATTTACCTGCAGTATGGATTTCGACGTGAAGAATATCTTAAAGATAAAAATCTGTAGTAAACAAACGGCATAAAAATACTGGCTTTTCCTCTGAAAAATAAAAACAAATAAACATATAGTATGATTGATTACAGGCCTTGCAGTTAATATTTTGAGTGCAAATTGAAACTTCAGGTGAGGGAGAGTGAGTTATCCTTCTTCTCTTCTGTCTGAAGGATGATTGAAGGAGTAATTTGTTAGTGAGTTCAAGGGCATGAATAATTTAGACTGAGAAACAATGACCAAACGTAGGCAACAGGTATTTCAGTCTAAAACAGACAACTTTCATAATTACTACTATCCAAGACCTTGACATTGAAAGGTAAACTAGCAAACTTAATGAATAGCAGCAAGAGGTCCAGATAAACAGAATGATGGCTCATGCCACTAATTCCAAAGACAAGACCTCATCTCATTCGTCATACTGACACTCATGCTTCAAGTATAAAAACAGTAAAGTTGAAACTTACGTGAATGTAAACATTATAATAGCTGGCATTAAGAAGATTTCATTACAAGCTATAAAGCGTAAAATATTAGTCTGTTGTAATTCTAACTTGGTGATCATATTTCTTAAAAACATCATGGAATTAGGTCCCATTACCTATAATAAAGAAGGAAAACATGAATGATACACGAAATATGTTCTGCCCCCATTTGCTTCAAGACATATAGAATGACACCAAAATGTTTTTGATTTATTCCTATTGGCTTTTGTATTATTTAGGCTTCAAATTATTTTCTGCTCCAGATTGTGTCTAACACCTCAGCGTGCTCAGATAGAGTCCAAACAAAAAACAAAACAAGCATCTAGCCAATCCTATGAGCCACCATGGTTACTACTTTAGACAAGGGCTCATTTCATGTATCCTGATATATATAAATATATATTGAAAATAAAATCCACATCAGCACAGCTAGTTTTGGATATACAGAATGACTTTCAAACATAGAACTTAACACAAATACACAAATTAAGTGAACTCAGTGAATAGGAGAGAAAAATCAGCAACAAGAATATTCTACGAAACCATTACTGTAATATATTCTGTACTTACATTTAATACAGATTTGGTATAGGTACAAGCATGAAGTAAAGCAAACAGGAAACATGGTATTAAAGCCACTGAATTATGGTTAAGGAATTTGAATTCATTTTAAATCAATCAGATAATGGTATGATCATTGCAAAGAAAGTTTGAAGATTTGTATGTAATAGTTAATAGTTCTATTTAGAATATTGTAAACAGGTTTATTTTTGATTAAATTCGAGAAATTGAAATTGTCCATATAATTATCAAAATAGAAAACTGATTATCATAATCTAACATTAAAGATAAAATATCTTTCATCTTTTCCCACTGTTCCTGTCAAAACAATTGTTAAATCTAAGGTTTAATCCAGGGAAGATCATCCCTGAGCACATAAAAAAACAGATCCTGAAGAGTCAAAGTAGTATGCTGGAAAAATCTAGATGATATTTTCTGTTGTATTTAAAAGGATACTGGTAATAGGGTACATGTTGATAAACAGAATAGAAAACATCAGATAATGACAACTATCTTCCAGAAATAACATACTGATAAACTGTCGACTCAGCTGAAAGTTGGGGATTCTCTGATGTAATCTTAATGCACTGGTGGCAGCACAACTTATCAGGGCTCTCTGATAAAAGCTATAGGGATCACCCCTGAAAAAAAGAGAAAATATTCTATCAGCATCAGCATATATTATTGTTATAAAATTTGAAAAACGTGGTCTTTATTCAACTGTTGAATGACTGAAGAAAAATGAAAATTAAATTTAAATTTGAATTCAAATTCTATGTACAAAAAGGTTATTTTGCATGTAACAAATAAACGTAAGGTAGGCTGAGTCAATAAAGACAGGACATAAGCAAACAAGAAAAGAAAAAGTTTGGCCATTACACAGCTTTACCCACCAAATCTTTTATAAGGTTATTTCATTAAAATTTCAAAGAGTCAAGAAATTCAAAGTCACAAGATGCTGAAAGACTGAAATCTTAAATAACCAGGAGAGATATGATATAAATCTTACCCGAGGAATGGTAGAATAAATAATATAGTAAATATAACAGTAATAATTCTTGTTAACCATAACCCAGCTGCCACCTTGTTCTCCATCATAAATGCCTAAAAATATAACACAGGAAAATACATCACAGGGTGAAAAGACTGCAGAATCATTTTAATAGATAATACAGTAATATATCAGCTTTAGGTGAAAGCAAATACCTGGCCAACTTTCGAAAACATTGGCTGTGGTATCAGAAATTTTATTACATTGAGGTAGACTCAAACCCATGGCACCTAATCACCTAACAGACTTGCCAGTGATTGAGATATTTAGGATAACTCTCACTTTTCCCTTCACTGTTTACAAGACATAGGAATTATAAATGCTATTATTACGTCAAAATTGTCATGGAAGACTAGATAATAAGTATGAAGGTATGAGCAAGGCTGGGCTAAAAAACAGTAGTTAAATTTTGGCCAGAGAAACTTCCAAAGGCCTAATTACGTAAACCATTATTTATTACGCCAACCAAATAAAATGGTTGGAATACTCAATATACAGTCATTATACAGAAAGTAAAGGGTAGAGACCAGAACTGAAGTAGATTGAGTATTGGTTCCACCACTAGTATTGCCAGCCTGTCCATTACTTCCACCAGCTGAGTTGTTAGAAGCATTCTCTGTACTGTTTTCACCTTCCATATTTGTCAACTTCAATGTTTTCAAGTATACCTGAAAATTTTTATAATTTAAAAAAAAAAATTAAAACCTTATTGATACTTTGTCACAGATTTGATGCTGATAGTCTAAATTAAAACCCCTAAATTCTGGACCAAGAATCTATTAAATTAAGGTTAACAATAAGACTTTATCTTAGTACCGGTACTAACCTAAGTGGCAAATGAAATTTTTAACCAAATCACATTCACCACAAATAGTCAATCTTAAGAAATTTTGCTTCCAGGCCTTTCAAGTAATTAAACTGATGCTCTTCTGTGAGGCAATTAACAGAAACTTCTGAGGTGTGAAAATTGTCCACGCAGATTTTCACTATACCAACTGGTCATGCAGGTGTGGTAAACGATGTCGGTCACGGTGATGCTTGATACCGATAGTTGATGATGATAGGCAAAAAATTGAAGCTTTGGCATAAAGAATGTGAAGCCGAAAGATCCTCAAAAACTCCAAAAACGACTTCATTTAGTCAAACTTCAATACTTCTTCAAAGGTGAAAAATACATTACCCTTTAAAGTTATTTTCTTTCACCAAAATGTTGCAAATTCGCAAGAAAAAATTAATAGGAAATGCTTGCAGATTACGTTACCTTCTTTACCTCTTTGACTAAAGAGTTCCGAATTAGTCGCGAGTTCTTCATATAGAGTTACATCCCCTGACAATTCACTTTAATGATTTAACTGTTGTCTGAAGTGTTAATAGTAATTGAGAAATCTAGATTAGCCTCCCTTAGATCAATCACATTAATTATCGAACATCGTTGTGCTTCTGTTAAGTGTGAACAGTCGGGACATTTTAAAAACATTTCAGTCTATCAGAAGGGTTGGCATAGGTTACCATGGAATTATAGACTACATTATGGGTCTATATAGTAGACTAGTACATACAATATCAATTTTACTGCAACCTATTATGATAGCAGATCTCCCTTCAATCAACTTCTTTCACTAGATTTGTCAGCATTGTCAGATTTTCAGAATCCATTGTACAGAGTAAAATCAACTATATAGGCTACTGGAGGAAAAGTCATCCCAGCACCCCTTAAACACAATGATCATGAATATTTCCATTCTCCTTCTATGAAATCGCATCAAACATGTTTTAATGACACCAAGGTCTTCAATATCCACAATCCAGAGAGCAGCATCAGGAGATCAAGAAAGGTAGGGTTAAGAATGTCGGAGCCTGTAGGATCAGAGTATCTAAATGACAGGGCGACAACACCTACAGGAGTTTTATGGGTTGTACGTATAGTTCCGAATCATGAATCTATCCGGTTAAAAACAATTTAACTTTATAATATGGTTATGAAAATTGATTTAAATTGAATCTTTTTCTCTATAGAGTTGACAATCTCAGTCGCAAAGTGGCACCAGAGTAGCACCAGGAAACATAGAAGGGCTTACACTCATTGGAAAAGAATGTCTAAAGCGTATGTGGTGATGCAATATCCTAAATCGCGCTATATCCGTTTAAAGTATTTGTATTTTGGTATTTGTATGTTTCAGAATGAGAATTTGTTGGCATTCAGAAAACGATTTTTAAGTTAAAAGCTGATGTCTGTCTGTGATTTTATTTTAATTAAGTATCAAATAGTAGCACGATGGACTCAGCAACTTGAACAGTGGCATTGAAACAGAAAAAGCCTATTGGCTAATAGCTTGTTTCTGTATTCATTTTATTATTCAGTGTTGACAATCGCAATCGCAAGGTGGAATCTAGGGATCCGAAACGGTGTTTTTGGACTCAGTATCTGAAAACAATGACATTGAAACACCAGAAACATTTTTCAGTTAATTTCTGTTGTCTCTCTCCATTTATCTTACATGTAATGACAAAATCTGTCGCTGAGTGGCACCAAGGGAATCAAAAGGGCGCGCTTGAACAGCGACATTTAAACAAAAGGAAAAGCCTTTTTAGTTGATATTTGATGATTCTGTGATTTTTTGGGTCATTTATTGAAATACTCAATCGCATGGTGCAATCAAGAGTGACAAGTTGCGCTTGTCTTCAGTACCTTAAAATAGTGATAATTGAAATTTTAGCTTGGAAACTTTTTTTTCAGTTAATGACTGTTTTTTATTTATTTATTAGATTAGAACGTATATATTAAGATATTCAATAACAGGGTGGAATCAAGGGTTACGAAAAGGAGCGTTTTTCATTAAGTTCCTTGAAATAGGGGCATCGAATCGGTTTTTTTTTCAGTTAATGTCTGTGGTTTTTAGTTCAGTACTAAGATACTCAATCGTAGGGTGGAATCAAGAGTAACGAAAGAGTGTACTAGCACTCAAAGTTTAAACAGTGGCATTAAAACACCAGGAAACGTATTTAATAGTTAATCGCCGACGTCTGTGATTTTTTATCCAGTGATCTTTATCGATCTGCCAGCTTCCCCAGCGAGCATTAAGTTAGCGGCCGTCGCCTCTCTCGACAAATTACCCCGTAATTAGCACTGAGTGGTCATTAACCAGAATGGCAGTACAGTAATATTAAGAGTTATTGCTCTAATTAAGCGATGTTTAGTAGCAATGGTAATCTGTAATATTCAATATCACACTTTCTCCGCTATATTTGTCATGTATCTTTCATTTGGAATGGAATACGGCTGGAGGATGGATGGTCAAATTTGCCCCTCCCCTTTCCCAACTTCTCAAAAATCAAACTTTAATGTAATGAAAAATGGTCATGCCACAAAATCCACTTTTGACTCTTTTTTGAAGCATCCTAATTACTTGTCTAAATATATGCCTCTCCCCCCTCTCACAAGAAATGATGCGGGTCCGGCATGCCTCCTCCCCCCCTGAATTTTCTTTAATCATTTTACATAGTGGAAGAATGCTCTGTGTCCATTAGAAAATTTTGTGGCCTCGTCTTGGCTCCTTCACTTGATGTTTCCTAGAAACGACACTGACAATGTAATATCGCACATTTATCACAGGGAGTCATACGGTGCATCTTTATAGCGACAAGGAATGAATCAGACCAACCAAATGTTGTCTGTTAGTGTGATAATTCGAATCACATATCAAATCTGGTGTCTTTATTGGAGTTATTAGTCTAAACACGTGCTTTCATAAACTCTACAGAAGCAGACAAGGTTTTATTATCTCCCCTTGATTACATTTGAATCAATTAGACACATAATGATTGTCTTTATGTAGAGAAAAACAACTTCTAAATACAATTACTGGTAATATTACTGGTAATGACCCATAATTATATATCTATTAAAAATTCTGTGGTTCTGAGTTCGTGTGTACTTTTTAAAGGTATCATGTGAATTAACATTTAAATGAGGTACCAATGTATGTGGTTGTATTCCAATAATCTCCATTTCAAACACCATGTTTCCTTGTAAGGACATATTATTATGGGTGTTATACCTATTTGTACTAATTCTGACACTCCTCATGCAGTTATATTTTCTATTGGGTTATTGATAGTCTCGGTTTTTGATAGTTTGATAGTCTCGGTTTTTGATAGATTGATAGTCTCGGTTTTTGATAGATTGATAGTCTCGGTTTTTGATAGTTTGATAGTATGGGTTTTGATAGATTGATAGTATGGGTTTGTGATAGTTTGATAGTCTGGGTTTTTCAGAGTTTGATAGTCTGGGTTTTCATAATTTGATAGTCTGGGTTTTTCATAGTTTGATAGTCAGAGTTTTTGATATTCTGGGTTTTTCATAGTTTGATAGTCTGGGTTTTTCATAGTTTGATAGTCAGAGTTTTTGATAGTCTGGGTTTTTCATAGTTTGATAGTCAGAGTTTTTGATAGTCTGGGTTTTTCATATAGCAATTTGGACAGATGCCAGCTGGTGCAGAGACAGAATTAATAAGCCCTGTTAATTGGGGACATTCCGCTTCGCCGCAGCTGCGGGGGTTTTAAACCTATTTAGGAACATCGAATCTGCAAAACCCAGGTATATTTGGAAAGATGAATATTTTTGTAGTTCAGTCATACCATCATTTTCTCCTTACACCATTTATGACAAGTCTCCGGTTCCGTCAAAGTTTTTATTGGCGAAACTGATTTAGCATCGGTCATTTAAACGCAACCAAAAGTTCAAAGGTCAAAGAGTCCCGTGATACTAACAGAACGAAAGTTACGGTGATGCTCAACACTAATTTACAATCATCTTAAAGGTAATTCAATATCATGTTAGAGAAAACGCATCTTTGGAGGTGTGTAAAATCCCCATTTAACTGGGTCTTTTTTTCTGACTCTACTGCAGCTGACAACTGTCAAAATATCCATCAGAGGCTGGAATAGAAGCAGGTGTTTCGGACTAGGCTTTTGATAGTCTGGATTTTTGATAGTCTGAGTTTTTTTTATGCTTATATCCTCCATTTGAATGTTATGTTCCAACGACAAATTTTATCATTGCCAGTTAGAAGAAATCCCAATCCCAGAAATAGGTCGGATAGGTTTGTTACAAAAATAGATTTTAAAGTTTATTGACCAAATTGTTTCACAGGAACTGGATGCAGGTCTACCTATGGGCTTATTGTCAGACATCTTGTAATTTCCTAATCTCCTTTTTGAATAGTTCATAGACATTGGTCAATACTGAATACCACCACTCGACATAACATCAGCCAATCAGTGTTGGGAGCATTTACAATATTCTTAAAGTTTCTGACAAACAACCTCTGGTTTTTAAAAGTCAATCGTACATCATGGAACCTTTATCTCGAGTTTCCCTTCTCTCATGATAAATCAGTTCGCCCTCATAAAGATAATAGGAATATGAAATAATAGGACTTTATTTTTCCTTTCAATAGAATTCATTAACCCGCTACATTAACTCAACTCAACTCTATTACAACTTTAACTAAATCTCGAGGAATAACGAGTATTAGCGAGAATTAATGAGATCGGTAATTCGCCATTATTATAAATCCCAGTGAAAGCATATTTAGTTTTCGTGATAAATCTCCAGTAGGTTTGACTCGAGCGATTATCTACGACTGCAAGATGACAGTTTTCTGGCTATAATTTGTGTTTTGGTTACAAACTACTGTCATATCGCGGATTTACAAGAGTTAGTGACAGGGAATTGTTGGAACTAGATTCGTTAGAGCATGGTGTATCACTCCGCTGGGAGTTCTGATCTAATAGGCATGAGCACTCACTGAGAAAATCAGCAACTCGATTGGAAATATACGAGAAATTTACTTGTTTTCATTTATTACAAAATATCAAGTCCAATAATTCAAATCGGAAAGATTTTCAATCTCCTCCGGGAGACGAGTTCTTTCGTCGATAACAAAATTTCACAAAAGAGATCGTCGAAATTAAACTTCATTTCAACTTCATTTTTTCTTTTGATATGAAGCGAACGATGATGGTTTGAGCTTTCGATTATTTGAGAAAAACCTTTCCATTCAGCCTGACGAAACTTTGATGGAAAATGTAATGAGGCGTATGATTTATTCTCAACGAAATCAGCCACACAAAGAAAATAATTTCTTAGGAGCGAATCCAGTTTTATTTACTTTTAAATTGTGTAATACATCTTTCAAGTTGGATGTCGCCCTTTTATCAAAATCTGCAGGTAGTTATATTATATCTCACTTC